GTAACCAGTATGAATTATACAGTAACTACCACAAATTATTTAGTAACCTGTATGAATTATACAGTAACTACTACAAATTATTCAGTAACCAGTATGAATTATTCAGTAACCAGTATGAATTATACAGTAACTACTACAAATTATTCAGTAACCAGCATGAATTGTTTGGTAACTTTTATGAATTTTTCAGTAACCAGCATGAATTATTAATTAACTACTATGAATTAGTGAGTAACCAGTATGGATTACTTAGTTACCAGTATGAATTATGCAGTAACTACTAGGAATTAGTCAGTAACCAGTATGAACTATACAGTAACTATTATGATACTTTTGCTTACAGCTATGAAATATTTGGTAACTATTATAATTTGATGATTAGAATGAATGTTTTGGTAATGACATATTATTGAGTAACTACTATAATTGATTCAGTAATTGAATAATCTTATGAATAACCTCAGTAATTACTAATTTATAGTAAGTGCGATTTAGAAAAGCTGCTAAACTGATCGGAGCACATAAGTTTCCATTACTTGTTAGCTACATTAGCCTTGTAGCATCAGTGCAAAACTAAGGTCAATTTCAGACATATAACATGATTTGGCTGATCGACTACACTTTGGGGAGGAGGCTATTGTGTAAATTTGATTTTGGACTGACTGTCTCTTTAACACATGTCTGCCTCATTATTATGCTGTGTTAACAGTGTGTGTGTGTGTGTGTGTGTGTGTGTATCTCTAACACACACTGAGTTTGAAGAGCACACTCCTCCTCCCTGTGGCCTCCCCACTCCTTTCTATCCTACTTAACCCCCCATTATATTGATAACGATGAGTAGCATGACGACGTTTTGGTTGTTTTTTTGAACCGCAGGCACCAGGGGGCGCTCTCTCTCTCAGTCTGAATGGCCTCTGTGTCTGTGTCTCCACAGCCAGGCTCCAATAGGTAAACATCTCATCAATCCACCGCTGCACAGACCCTCATTCACCCAAATCAGCCTGCATACGCAGAGCCATCTGCCCGTATCATTACTCAGTTAATCAGGCCCTCATCAGACTGGCCTCAGCACTTCCTCTCAGGGGAATCCCCGGCGCCATCTTAGACGCTGTTCCATCGCTACAGTTATATGCAAACGTTTGAACTCTAGGTGAAAATAAGTTCACACATCAACAATAGTATTTTCCTGCTCATTTCAATGCACTATTTCTATACATTAGCTCTGCATACAGTATAAAATGTGCCATAACTTTTGCACAGGCCACATTTTATGTTTCATTTTTTCCCCAGTGTGTGGATTTTGGCAAATAAACAGTGATTGTGCCTTAAAATGTGCAGAAGTGTGATCTCTGTGGAGGACATGTTCACATATTTTCACTATTTTCATTCGACTGGGGGCGCCAAAACTTTTGCACACTACCGTGCAAGTCCACAAGCAAACTTCAGATGCTAAACATTCATTCGTTCATTCATTCGTCATCTTAAACCGCTTGATCAAGCTAGGGTCGCGGTAGCTAAACCCCAAACATGTCTTGGAAAACGTATGCTTCAAAGTTACGTACGAGCAAACGTGATCGTGAAATTAGCTCACGCAAATTTCACTGACAGTTTTGTTATTCATCAGCTTCAAGTTTGGCGTGGCTGTACGATCAACACCACGTCTGGTAGGAGTGTAAATTTGAACGTAATAGATTAACCTGAAAAAATGTGCTAAACAAATATACTATAAAAATCATCTATAACACCAGTAATACTAATACAAGTAGAAAATGACAATAACGCTTTTTTGCAATAATAATTTTGTTCACAGTACAAAAGTGGAGGTACTTTGTTTATATGCACAAATGCTGCAACTGTTCCATTTAAAGATATATTGCACTGTGCTTTTGTTGATACTACTGACTCCGCCCACAAAATAAACAATACAAAACACACTACAAACACGCTACAATAATTTTTAATAATAATAGTTTTTAAATATGTAATTTTTTGGGAAATATTCACGTTAAACAATCACAACATTCTACTGTCTTAAAAAAGTCGTAGTTTCAACACTATGAAGTTTGATCAGTAGGGGGAGCAGTGCACTCAAACTCCACCTGCGAGTGCAACCATTGGCTCATGAGCAACTGAATGCAACTTTTCATTGGTTCCCAACTGAAACTGTCAAACACTAAAAAGTCATGAGGCTAAATCAGCGTCTCGTTCTCCAGCTTCTTATTCGAATTCTCCCATTCCACATTAAAAAATGGTGCAGCAGTTACATTCTGGCACGAGAACGGGAAATTCGAACAAGAAGCTGGCAAATGAGAAGCAAATGAGAAGCGTCTTTCACCGTTGTAAAAAGTCAAAAGTTGAGAGACGTTTTACAAAAAACGGTTCTACTTTTGCGGAAAAGTTTCCTGCTGGAGATGCGAGAAAAGCAGCTACAGCTGAGCTAAAGCTTAAAGCAGAGCAAAGTGAGTCTGCTATGGAAGTCCAGAGAGGCCATGAGCTGTTGCTATAATTTTCTGGATTGTTATCTTGAGAGAACAAGATAAGTAACTCGTTATCTTGAGATAACAACTTTTGTTATCTTGAGATAACAAGATAATTAACTTATCTCAAAATAACATCCAGAATATTATAACTACCTCACAGCCTCTCCGGACGTCTGTAGTGTGTGTCTTCATTTATATTATATTTGTTAGCCTATATTAGCACATTAGCACATACTGAGGCATACTTACAGCCATGATGGTAAAAGGGACATAAAATGTTGTGGCTCCCAAGGTGGGTTGAGTTTTGTTGAAAGGACAAAAAGGCTTTTTTTAACATTTGGATTGCCGACCCCTGAATTAGAGCGTGCTTCATGTAAATGATATGTTAATGAGGTGAGGTGTTGGTGAGCTGGCGCTTGATTTCACGCACCAACGCTGAATGCGTTCATTTCCATGTCATACGGAAGTTCTGTAGTTCGTCTCTCCTTAAAGGCAACCATATCTCACTCTTTTTATGCAGCTTTGATGAATGAGGGCGATTCTACTGAAGCTGCTACTCAAGAAACTCGCCTTTGGTGATGTGTGCTGCCCTGATTTTGTTTAATTAGTAATATTAATTAATGATAAAGCATTCAGTAGTAATAAGGGCGACTCAGGTCAGCCGTAGATGCAGATTTGGCTCAGCTTTGCTACAGCAGCTTGTTTGAGTGGAGGAGACGTGACATGATGTGTTTGAACAGGGTTTTTTCTCTAAAGTTCTTTTATGCTACGCTAGTGGCAAAGAACAGTAGCCGTACGTCTCCCTGTTAGATAGAGATCTCTGTGTGTGTGTGTGTGTGTGGTGTGTGTGTGTGTGTGTGTTCTCGCTCACTGCCTGTGTGTGCAGGGTTGAAGAGCTGTGAAATGCTAGTCGATGTTTAGATGGAGATTAGCATCAAAGGCAGCACGAGCAAACAGGGTAAATCCGGTCCGGGGGGGGGGGGTGGGGGGTGGGGGGGTGAGGGCGAGGGGTGTTCACGCTCAGCCAGTGTGTGTGTGTGTGTGTGTGTAGGTTGACGCTGTGTGTGGTAGATTGGTGTGTGTTTGTTTTTGAGATGACAGGACGGCTTTGGCAAACAGTCATTACGAGAAGCAGCCTGCATGGTAATTACATGCTTATTACAGAATAATAAACACACAAACACACATGTAAAATTATGTGTGCACACACATACTCACACACAAAACATACACACACATACACAAACGCACTCACACAAAACATACACACACATACGCATAAACATACACACAAAACATACACACTCAAACACACACATGCACACACATACACCTAAACATACACAAACACATACACAAACACACACACACACACAAAACACATACACAAAACACACACACACAAACACACACACACACACAACACACATACACAAACACACACACACACAAACAACATCACACCACACAACATCACACACACCATACACACATCACACCACACACACAACACCACACACACTACACACACATACACAACACACAACACAACACACACACACACACACACACACACACACACACACACAAACACATACACACACATGCCATATCACAAACACACAAAAGCATCACCACACATACACAACACACACACACACACACAGGCAAACATACACACACATGTATAAACACACAAAAGGTACACATACAAAACATACACACACAAAACATACACACAAACATGTACATGCCATCATCATCCCATATGAAAGTCAGGAGACGTGTAGGTTCACTGGTGGTTCTGCATAGTGAAGCTGATGATGGTAAAATAGTCCATAATCCATAACCATTTCATGTACAAGCTTTATTACACACGTCTATAACCTATGAATAGCTCTGCCAGTTTGCAGTGAAGTCCCTGTAGTTACTGAATAATAAGCCTTAGTATGTAACAAACCTGGGATTTTAAGGTGTAACAGATCAGACGTCTGGTTCCATTCACCACCACTGTGATCAGCTCTGACTCTAGAATGGAGCATTTCACATCAAACCACTCTGAATGACTTCACATCTCAATGACTGAACTGTGCATGAATTTTGGAAAGTTGATGGAGTTCCCCTTCAGCATTATTACAGTGTTTTTAGTGTTGTTCAATTAAGCTGACCAAAAAAACACAGATGTGTGTGTTTCACTGAAGTCATGAGGTCTTCTCTGAAGATCTAGAAGATGCTGAGGGTTCCACACACACACACACACACACACACACACACACACACAGTGCTAATAGTCTCCTAATGTGCTTCCACTGTTGCTCTAATGCACTGACAGTGCACTCTCCAGACCTCTGTGCAGCATCATTATGGAGATTTCCCAGCATGCACTGGGGCTCTGATGTTTTTCGGTGGACACTGATAAGGGCGTGTGTGTGAGTGTGTGTGTTAGTGTGCGCTGGCTGCGTGGTGCTCCAGCTATGCTGAACGTCTTAACGTCGCTGAACGCTCCGTCGTCTCTTTCAGTGGAGAAAAGTTCCAGGGGGGTCCGCAGCGTCCCGGGACGACCCCACGTCAGCGGAGGAGGAGGAGGAGGAGGAGGAGGGGGAGGGGTGGTCACACACACCGAGGATGAGGAGGAGAAACAGCTTCGTCTTCAAAATGAGAGGAAGAACCAGTGCATCCTCCAGCTCCGCAAACTCGTCGCCCATGGCAACCGCAGGCTGGAGGCGCTGGCCCTCGTCATCCAGCACATCTTCAACGAGGTCTGAGTTCATTTACATCAGTATATACAGCTCTCTCTCTCTCTCTCCCTCTCTCTCTCTGTGTATCTCTCTCTCTCTCTCTCTCTCTCTCTCTCCTCTCTCTCTCCCCTGCTCCCCTGCTGATGTGTGTGTGTGTGTGTATATATATATATATATATATATATGTGTGTGTGTGTATATATATATATATATATATATATGGTTGTATATATTATTGTTCATATTTTAAAAAAGCACTATGGAGGAAAAACTCTGAAGGCCTAATTTGGTTCCTTTGAAAATCTGTATTTCCTAATTTGGCCACACGGTGGCACCGGATAGTTTTCACAGCACAACATGACAGTCAGCAGTGACGAGTTTAAACATCAGCAGTTGCTGAGGACCCCTTTGTCACAGGGGGCCCAGTGAGTATTTTTATTTTTGAGTTTTTATTTTATTTTTATTCTTGCTGTTGTCATTAAACAAAAACCCACAGCTGGGTCCTGTTTGGATTCCTGCCAGTGGAGGCGTTCCCAACAGACACTGAGCGCACTGATAGGCCGATATCGGGGGGCCTCTCTTATTTGTTCACCGTGGGATTGGCTGTATCCCGGATACGGAGCTGTCCAGTAGATAATCTCCTCCTCTTTGTCCGAAGGGGGTAAATATTTGGCCATTAAAGCAGCTGCCACTCAACAGCTGTGAAACTCAGCCAGCCTTTAGTGGATCAGCAGAGCTAACAATAATGAAACCTCCTACACCACCAATTAGCATCGTGCTAACTGCATGCCTTAAAGAGTCATGTGTTTGTTGATCATGTGGTTTCTGACACCGTTTGATGGACTATATGACCTCACATACACTTAGAGACTTCAGCTCATCTGCACAGTGTGTGTTAGCCGCCCTCTAGTCCAGGGGTCACCAGTCTGATCCACAAAGAGCAGGTTCTCATTTCAGTAAAGCAGGAGCTCATATGACCAACCGTCTGACCGAGACCCACTGATTAAGCAAGGGGAATCAGGTGTGTGGGAGTTTCTAATAAAGTGGCCAGTGAGTAGAAGTACAAAGTAGGTGTTTCTAATAAAGTGGCCAGTTAGTGGAAGTACAAGATGGGTGTTTCTAATAAAGTGGCCAGTTAGTAGAAGTACAGGATGGGTGTTTCTAATAAAGTGACCAGTAAGTAGAAGTACAAGATGGGTGTTTCTAATAAAGTGGCCAGTTAGTGGAAGTATCGGATGGGTGTTTCTAATAAAGTGGCCAGTTAGTGGAAGTATCAGATGGGTGTTTCTAATAAAGTGGCCAGTTAGTGGAAGTACAAGGTGGGTGTTTCCGATAATGTGGCCAGTTAGTAGAAGCACAATGTGGGTGTTTCTAATAAAATGGCCAGTGAGTAGAAGTACAAGGTGAGTGTTTCTAATAAAGTGGCCAGTTAGTGGAAGTACAAGATGGGTGTTTCTAATAAAGTGGCCAGTTAGTGGAAGCACAAGGTGTGTTTCTAATAAAATGGCCAGTGAATAGAAGTACAAGGTGGGTGTTTCTAATAAAGTGGCCAGTGAGTGGAAGTACAAGATGGGTGTTTCTAATAAAGTGGCCAGTAAGTAGAAGTACAAAGTGGGTGTTTCTAATAAAGTGGCCACTGAGTGTAATGGTGATGGTGATGGTGATTATTGTTTTTGTGATGAGATCTTGGTGAAGAGAGGCATGTCAGGTATTCTCGCCGAGCTGGCCTGCTGTAATGCGACTGTAGACTGTGCTCGAGTGTCTGGGCGGAGGGTGCGTGTTTCGGATGGCTGTTGTTCTGCCCTGCAGCAACGGGCTACTGCCTGCACTTGCTCATTTAGCCTTGGAGGCTTTTAAAGGGCTTGTTTGGACCATTCAAAACCACTTCATTCAGAAACCTTTAGGCAGAATTCCTCCTGCGAGCGTGTCAGACCTTCTGCTCTCCAGAACATGATCCTAAAATTCTGAAGAGTAGAGGAGGGCTTCTGTAGTGGCAATACACCGGTGGGTGTTTCTAATAAAGTGGCCAGTTAGTTGAAGTACAAAGTAGGTGTTTCTAATAAAGTGGCCGGTTAATTGAAGTACAAGGTGGGTGTTTCTAATAAAGTGGCCAGTTAGTGGAAGTACAGGGTGGGTGTTTCAAATAAAGCAGCCAGTTAGTGGAAGTACAAGGTGGGTGTTTCAAATAAAGTGGCCAGTTAGTGGAAGTACAAGGTGGGTGTTTCTAATAAAGTGGCCAGTTCATGGAAGTACAGCGTGGGTGTTTCAAATAAAGTGGCCAGTTAATGGAAGTGGCACTGTCACAGGATGTCACCTCTGCCTCAAGTCAGTTTGTGAAATTTCTGTCCTATCTGTCAGTCCGATGGACGAGTCTGGGTTTGGCGAATGCCAGGAGAACGTTACCTGCCTGACTGCACTGTGCCAGCTGTAAAGTTTGGTGAAGGAGGGATGATGATATGGGATTGTTTTTCAGGGGTTGATCTAGAACCCTTAATTCCAGTGAAGGGAAACCTTAATTCTTCAGCACCAAGACATTTTGGACAACTGTACACTTCTTACTTTGTGTGAACAGTCTGGGGAAGAACCTTTCCTGTTCCAGCATGACTGAGCCCCAGTGCACAGAGCAGCTCCATAAAGGCCTGGCTGGGTGAGTTTTGTGTGGAAGAACTTGACTGGCCCTCACAGAGCCCTGACCTCAACCCCATCACAGCAAACACCTTTGGGATGAGCCAGAACGGAGACTGTGAGCCAGGCCCTCTCGTCCAACATCAGTGTCTGACCTCACAAATGCTCTTCTGGATCAACGGGCAAAAATTCCCACAGACACTCTCCAACATCCTGTAGAAGCTTCCCAGAAGAGTGGAAGCTGTTGTAGCTGCAAAGGGGGACCAACTCCATATTAATGCCTATGGATTTAGCTGTAGTGTATAGCTGTCCCAGTACTTTTGTCTATAGAGTGTCTATGTAAATGAGCTTCATTCCTCTGTTGTGACTAATTGAAAAAGCAGGACTGAAACACTATAATGCCAGTATGAATGAGCCTGGCTGTAGGCTGAATAGTGGGATATGTATGAATGCATTGATTTTTGTGACATCACAAAAACTGAATTTAAATTTTGGCTGTTGTGTTGTTCAGTTTCCTCATATATGAGGAGCGAACAGTAAGTTTTGAAACATTAACAGTGTTTACACACTACTTATTTTAAAAAACAAGGAATATCCAGTTTTCTATGATATGAGCCCTTTAATGCAGACTGTTTCATTCTAAGTGATAAAAAGAAGAAAGAAAATTGAAATATAGTCATGTAAAAATGAATTATGATTGTTTTTGGTTAATAAACCCTCAGAAACATTATAAGAGGACTTCAGGGAAGGAAAAATGAAACAGTAAAATGTAGCGTATGGGCTCTTTAATAAGCCCAGTCCTGCACTGGTGAGATAGTATAATAACAACAGTAGAGTAGATATTTCTGAGTCTATCTCTGAGTTTCTGGTCATTTGGCCGACTGTCGGCATCCGGCGTCTGCGAGTTTCGGCTGGTTTTGTGGTGCGGCCCCCCCAGGCGTCGGCTGTGCGTCTGTGTGGGGTGGGGGTGACGCCCTGTGGTTTGAGAGGTTTATGGTAAATGGGGCTTAAATGTGGTTCTGCCCTAAATGCCCCGAGGACAGAGCCATTACTGACAGTTACAGTCATTTAAAATCCTCCGCTGGCTCAGAGTCTCACCCCTCACACTGAACAATGACTGACCCAGCACTGAAAACGACGTCTTTTCCTGGTCCTGTATCAGAGCGGAGTTTCTCCGGAGGCCGCGGGGGGGAAGGGGGCGTTATTTTCAGCGATGTGTTGTTGGTTACGGCAGGAAATCCATCTAATCTGAACTGTATCTGCTTCAGTTGAAACAGAGAAACATGATCCAGGTTATCAGCTGTTTAAACTGCGGCTCCTCCAGCAGATCCACTGATAAGAGCTCACAGTGCAGCTCAGCTCAGCTCAGCGCTCAGGCTGCTCCACTCAGAGTCCGCACCCTCTGTACACTGTTTACCTTCAGTCCTTCTTTCTTTCCTACCATTTCACATCTATCTTTCTTTCTTTCTTTCTTTCTTTCTTTTTTCTTTTTTCTTTCTTTCTTTCTTTTTTGTTTCTACCATTTCACCATCTCTCTCTGTTTCTTTCTTTCTTTTTTCTTTCTACCATTTCACCATCTCTCTCCATTTCTTTCTTTCTTTCTTTCTTTCTTTCTTTCTACCGTTTCATCATCTCTCTCTGTTTCTCGTTTTTCTTTCTTTTTCTTTCTTTCTTTCTTTCTTTCTTTCTTTCTTTCTTTCTTTCTTTCTTTCCACCTTTTCACCATCACTCTCTGTTTCTCTTTCTTTTTTTCTCTCTCTTTCTTTCTTTCTCTTTCTTTCTTTCTACCATTCCACCATCTCTCTGTTTCTTTCTTTCTTTCTTTTTTTCTGTCTTTCTGCCGTTCTGTTTCATCATCTCTCTGTTTCTCTTTCTTTTTTTCTCTCTCTTTCTTTCTTACTTTCTTTCTACTGTTTCACCATCTCTCTGTTTCTCTTGTCTTTCTTTCTTTCTTTCTTTCTCTTTCTTTCCTTTTCCCTTTTCTTTACTGTCTTCATTTTTTATAATTTCTTTCTTTCTTTCTTTCTGGCGTTTCACATCTCTCCGTTTCTCTTTTTTCTTTCTTTCTTTCTTTCTTTCTTTCTTTCTTTCTTTTGTTCTTTCTTTCTTTTCTCTCCTTCCTTCACCTTTTTTCATTCTTCTTTTATTCTTTCTGTCCTCCTTTCCATTCATTCCATTATTTTTTCCATTCATTCCTAGCTCAGTTCAGTGTGTTACAGAACTGTAGTGTGCTGTTATCTCTCTCTCTCCCTCTCTCTCTCCCTCTCCCTCTCTCTCTCCCTCAGTACTGGGGGATCTGCCTTTTGTCCAGTGCTTTCTTATCTAAACAGATTAAAGGTGCTGCACTCTCTCCTCTGACCCGACCTGGGATCAGTTTGGTCATTTGATTCTAAGGT